TGGATAGCTTTTTTTTTTTCCCATATCAGAGGTTAAAGGGATCTAGGAGGAGTGTTGCTAGTATTCTGAGGTTGGGCTTTAAATGTTAATGGTCAAATGCAATCTGTAGTTTCATGGTATTGCCTGTATGTAATACAGACTGAAGATCTGCTGAAATCATCCTAACTTGACTGGTAATGCCAGATTTACATAGTGGAATACAGTGCAGCTCACAGTAGTATGTGCAGAGGCAGTTTTTCCTTACTTAAAGGGAAACTATAATAGTTTGGCTTCAGTTTTATTTCATTTGTAAAGCATTTAATACTATTGGGTTATTGAAGGAGACATTGATATCTGCCTTGACTGAGCAGCCCTATAAAGGATGAGTCACTGCAATGATTCATTGAATTAAATTGCAGCTTGAGGTGATTATTGTGTCAACAGTTTTATTATAAAAAAAAGTAGCAAGGGTATACAAAAATTATCACATCAAATACAGACAGTCATCACATGGCTGAGCATTGGAAGCTGTACATTGATAATCTGTACAGTACTTAGTCACTTTGTCTCTATTCTGACAAAAACCACACAGCATATAGCCGCAAGTTAAGCAGCGTTGCACATTACTGTGGTCAAGTATAACAAACATTCCAATGTTAGTCTGGAATTCAGCCACTACTTCCTTGCAACACCCCATGGTTTTATATTTTAAATAAAAGCAATGACATAGTGAAACAGATTAGCACAAAACCGCTCCTAAAAGCAGCAGACATTTTTGCCACTCACCAAAGGACCCTGATAAAGACTAAAAAAAGATGTTTGAGATGGAGGGGGTATGGAGAGTGGATACTGGAAGAAAGCAGGTGAGTATGTTAAGGGGGGGGGGCATGAAGAGCATTAAAAGCAGGTATGGGTTCCAGGAAAGTGAAGGGAAGGGATAGATGGAAATGGCTGGAGGTAGGCAGGCAGAACAAATAGGGACAGGGTGCTTGATAGTTCTATCACACTTTGAATGACAATTGCACGGTCATGCAACACTGCCCACCACTGGGATTTTTATTTTTTTTTTTGCTATGTAAATTAAAAAGTCCAAAAATTTAGAAAAAAAGTGTTTTTTCCTATAAAATTTTGCAAATAGTATTTCATCATAAATCTTGGCCAAAATTTATTCCGTTTATATTTTTAGTAAAAAAAAAAAAAAAAAATTAGTTTATAACCAAAAATTATAATTTTTTAAAAAAAATTTTTTTTTTACTTTCTTTTTATTTTTTAATATTTTTTATTTACTATTTTTTTTAATTTTTACATACTGTCACCCTAGCAGTGCAGTTCCCCCATGGTGACACTGTACTACTTGTGGGGGGTGATGAAGATTTTTTTTTTTTTTTTTAACACTGATTGCTTTTACACCCATAAAGGATGTAAAAGCAATCATTTCTCCTTCTCTCTAGCTGCATTCTTGAGAACTACTGAGTGAGCTGTGATTGGTCACAGCTTGTCACATGGTACAAGGCTGTTGTGATTAGCCTTGTACCATGTGACCCCCGTGATCATTCACAGATTTCACACATAGTAAGCAATGATCTCAGAAGTGACATCTTGCATGTGATCACTGATTGGCCAATCAGCGATCACATGATCAGGACCTCGTACAGAGGTCCCGTCCGACGATCGGTGTTCCACTGTGTCCAGAGGACACAGCGGGCACCGGATTGTGGTGCTGCGCGCACAAGCAGGGTGCGGGGTGGCCATTTAGAAACGGCCCCCCGACCCTGCACTGCCACTGTCCGGCCGTTTATATACAACGGCCGGAAGGGAGGTGGTTAATGTTGATTCTTGGGAATAGTTTTTTTTTTTTTTGCCTTAAATTCTGCTTAGATGTGGTTCCAAAATATTGAAATTTGAAATATATTGTAAATAGTGGTAAAAAGTTTTAGAACACCCCCATTATATTCAGTTTTTATTGAAATCTAAACTGTTCAAATCCAACAAATAACCTGAAATGTTACAAGGGTAATCTGTTAACGGAAAGAGGTGATAAAAATAAAAAAAAAAAAACAAACTGAAAAATAATGTACATTTCACTGTTGTACAAAAAGGCCTTTTTTAGGGAAGAAGTAATAGGTTAACAGCTCACAGTTGTTCAGCAGCAATGTAAGTAAATTGAGCCCGGAAAGTTTATTCTAACAAGTGTTACTGCTGTCCCAACTTTTTGATTACTTACAAGCTCTCTGTATAAAAGCAGTGTTGAAACAGACTGTTACTACACCCTCTTAAGCAATATTTGGACATTTTGTACGGCAGGAAGTAGTATATCACTATCAAAATGGTGTAAAAAAAGCAATTAACAAAGGAAGACAGCGAGGCAATTATAACCAGTAAAAGTGTAGGTCTTTCCTTTAGAGAGATTGCAAAGAAAGTCAAGATGTCAGTGAATACAGATTCCTACACCTTCAAAGAGCACTGGCAGACCCAAAGCCAAAAAAGAATCAAAAGACAAGTTTCTCGGAGTCAACAGCTTGCGTGACAGGCGGCTCACAGTACAACAGCTCCAAGCACAGCTTAAGACTGATCGAAGTAAGCAAGTCTCAGTTTTAGCTGTGAAGAGAAGACTTCAACCTGCAGGTTTGACAGGTCGAGTGGCTGTAAGAAAGCCATTGATAAGATGGCAAAATAATAAGAAGAGGCTTGGCTGGGCCATGAAGCGCCACCAGTATAAAATTCAGTTGATAATTCACTAAAGATCCCACTTCATATATTTTGTGAGTTCAGATTTCAGCAATTAGGTCAGTGTTTTTTATTTTGTACATCCAATGGAAAATTTGCTAGTATATTTAGAGAAACTATTAAACTGTGGGTATATATACTGTCTTGGCATTTTCAGACCTCAAGAAATGATAGACAGTCAGAACATCATGATTGATCAATTTTCATTTTATATTATATATATATATATATATATATATATATATATATATATTCATTTGTAGACTCTATAACTTTCACACAGACTAAATATTATACACTGACTTGGGTTATTTTTACCAAAGAAATATAGCAGACTACATTTAGTCCTAAGTTTATGAAGAAAGTTTTTTTTTGTTTGCAAAAGTTTATATTTATTTTTATTGTTTTTCAAACTTTTTGTGATCTATTTTTTTGCTATATAAACTAAAAAAAAAAAAAAAACCCAGTGGTGATCAAATACCACCAAAATAAAGCTCTCTTTGCATGAAAACAATGATTTAAATTTCATTTGGGTGCAATGTTGCATGACCGAGCAATTGATAGTTAAAGTAGCACAGTGCTCAGTAGTAAAAAATTACCTGGTCATGGAGGAGGTAAAACCTTCCGGAGGTCACATATTTAAAGTTGAGTGCTAGCTTAACCGCAAAATAACAGATCAGTTAAATACCAATAGATATAGCATGCTCATAGGAGGACAATTAAGCTGGAGGGCCAGAGAAGAATCTACGGTTAACCTACTTCATTTTATTGTAAGCAGTCAAGCAGGTTGATTAGAGCCAAGGTGTCTCAGACCATGGTGAAGAGAGTCAAGGGAAAGGTCCGTTTTAGGTCAGTATTGACCAAAACGTTTAGCGTGATGACAGAGTAGGTAAATATACCTGAAATTTATGAATTACTAGAGCAGATAAGAGAGGAGTGGTAATAAGTGGTCGATAAAATGTGTTATAGGGCATGTAGCCTACATATTTTTAGTGGATGATTGGAACTTTTAGAGAAGGCAATTACAATCTTTTATTTAGAAAAGAAACCAGAATTATGCAGAAGAATTTTGACATGATATTATGCCATATCTAGCTGAATGTTTGATTCAGGAGTTTTATAAGCATGGGTGAGCTTTTGAGTGGACTGTACAGTTTTATTACTGGTGTTTAACACATTTAAACAATACTACTACTACACCTATAGTGTGTGTTCAATGATGTAAGATTCTCTTTTAAACAGTAGATTTGCCATTACCATATAATCACCTTTCATACATTGGTAATTACTCTTACTTTGTCTCATCAACAGAGAATTGCTCATTCTCAAGAAGAGTTGAGAGATGATCAGGGATTTCCTTCAGATCGAGGTCGTTTAGAGCCTTTGTTACGAAAAGATATTGAGTATTTGGACAGAAAGGTGGATGGTAAAGATAGTTGGATGAACCAAAGCTCTTCTGTAGAATCTAGCACATCTAGCCAAGAACACTTGAACAATTCTATTAAAACTTATTCTTCTGCTTCATCCTTAAACAAATCAGGACCTGGACGCTGGAAAACACCAGTTGCATCTCAGCCTGCACCAGTTGCTGTGTCTCAGCCTATAAGAACAGATCTACCACCACCACCACCTCCTCCTCCAGTACATTATGGAGGAGAATGTGAAGGAATCACTGTTGATTTACCCCTTCCACCTCCACCATCACAAGGTCATTTGGGACCACAGTTAAATGCTCAAGCAGCAGCAGTTGAAAGAAAAAAAAGAGAGGAACATCAAAGATGGTATGAAAAAGAAAAAGCCCGCTTGGAAGAAGAAAGGGAGAGGAAAAGGCGCGAACAAGAAAGAAAGCTTGGGCAAATTCGACCTCAGGTTCCTGCTCCTCCACAGCCCATGTTGCCACAGCCTCAAACAGCAGCCCCCCACCTCCTAATATACCGCAGCCAAGACCGGAAAAACCAGCAACTCTTCCTCGTCCACAAGAAACAGTCATAAGAGAGCTGCAACCTCAGCAACAGCCACGCACAATAGAAAGAAGGGATCTTCAATACATTACAATCAGCAAAGAAGAGCTTTCTTCCAGTGACAGCCTTTCCCCAGACCCATGGAAGAGGGACGCCAAGGAGAAATTGGAAAAGCAGCAGCAAATGCACATAGTAAATATGCTAAGCAAAGAGATCAATGAACTACAAAACAAGACTGAACGAACTGCAGAAGAGAATGACAGACTTCGCAAATTAATGCTTGAGTGGCAGTTCCAGAAACGACTTCAAGAGTCTAAGCAAAAAGATGAAGATGAGGATGACGATGAAGAAGATGATGATGTAGACATGCTTATTATGCAACGTCTGGAAGCAGAAAGAAAAGCAAGGGTAATGCAAATATCAATTCATTTAATTTCAAAGTAAGCTGTGCAAAATTCAGTGCTGGATGGCATAGGTGTGTTTTATTAAAATGTTGCTTTTCAATAATAATAAAAATTAATATATATATATATATATATATATATATATATATATATATATATATATATATATATATATATATATATATATATACACATATATATATATATATATATGTATATATATATGTATATGTTTTTTAGAAAGTTTTTTTAAATAAAAAACTTCCACCTTGTGACCTCTAATCTGTGCAATTCAATTGAAAACAAACTAAAATCTTTAAAGGGAGGTGGAATAAAAATAAACATTCAATAATGTGGTTGCATAAACTTGATTTGCACACCCTTGAACTAATACTTTTGTTCAAGCAACTTTATTTCATAACAACATTGTCTTTTGGGGTAGGAGTCTTATCAGCATGGTACGTCTTGCCTTGGGAACCTTTGCCCACTATTTCTTGCATAAATGCTCCAAATCTGTCAGATTGCGAGGGCATCTTCTGTGCACATCCCTTTTCAGGTCACCCCACAAATTTCTAATTTAATTCAGGTCTAGCCTCTGGCTGGGCCATTCTAAAACTTTAATACCCTTCTGGTTAAGCCATTCTACTGGTCCAGGAGACTGTCAAGAGCCCTACAGTAACATTAAAGGAGCTGCAGAAATTTCTTGCTAGTACTGGTTTTGTACTACATGTGACAGCAGTCTCCTGTATTTTTCATATGTCTACCCTATAGGGTTAGGTGGCAAGACAAAAGCCCTTTCTTACTAACAAAAACATCCAAGCTCAGTGCATAAAGTCTGCCAAAACTTTTGTGGGTAAATGTGTTATGGTCTGATGAGACCAGGGATCGATTATCCAGGGAGTATCCGATTGCCTCCTGGGGAATCAGGAAGGAATTTTTTTCCCCACTGGAGCAAACTGGACTTTGCTTTAATTTGTTTTTTTTTTCCTTTCTCTTGATGAATTATGGTTGTGTTTGTGTGTTTTAATTGGTTGAACTAGATGGACTAGTGTCTTTTTTTCAGCATGAATAACTATGTAAGATCAACATTTTTGGTCATAATTCAAAAAATATGTTTTGCCCCAAGTCAACACTGTGTATCACCAAAAAACACCATACCCACAGTGAAGCATGTTGGTGGCAGCATTATGCTTTGGGGCTATTATTTTTCCACTGGAACTGCGGCTTTAGTCAAAGTGGAGATACTTATGAAGAATGGCTTCACCAGAAGAAGATGAGCGTTTTGAGAGTTTTGTAATATCTCAGCCAGAGCCTGGACCTGAATACAAATAAAAACCTGTGGGGTGACTTGCACATAGCTGTGAACAGGAAATACCCTTGCTATGTGACAGATTTGGAGTACGTTTGCAAGGAAGAGTGAGCCAAAAGACTGACTGCTGTCATAAAATCACAGGGTGCCCTTTTAATTTTTATTTTATAACCTCTTAAAGTTTGCAGTTTGTTTTTTAATTGAATTGCACAGATTAGAGGTCACATTAAATGTGGAAAAATTCATAGTGATTTATCTTGGTATGATTTCTTTACATCTCAAAAACCTGGCATTTCTACAGGGGTATGTAGACATTCTAGGTAAGCAACTAGCTGTATAATATGCCCAACAGACAAGGTAATTTTTAAAAAACTGTTATTTATATTTTTGTTTCACTAATTAGCCTAATTTTAAGTGATGCACATTTACTGTAACCCATTGTACAAGTGCAGTATTTATGTAGGCTACAAAACAGAAGTTCTTATATACTCAAAATTGGTTTAATGCTGGCTTTGGAGCTGTAATGAAGTCCTTATACAGATCTGCCATTAAACTTGTGGTGACATCATTACCTCCACACACATCCCTACATCACATTTTTCGTGTTCTTGAGTAAACTATGGGATACCAGTTAAAATGCTGGACTTGAGAGCTTTCCCTAAAGCATCACTATGCACAACAGTGGTATGAGGAGGTTTTCAGGTTCACAAAGTTTAAGTAAGAATGGCTATAAACTATTCAGTTTTTTAATATGTGCATTAGTGTGCTCTTTTTGTTACATTTAGTAAATTGGTATAACTTATTTTGTTGCCATAAGCAAAACCGGAATAAGTTTTGTTTAACAGAGTTGTATAACAAACAAATTTACTGAGCACTATTTACATTTAAACCAACCGCATAACAACCTCAGTGCAATTTCTGAAAAACAAACTGCTTTGAGAAATGAATTACTATTTGTGGGGTCTACGTGGTTTTAACACATGGGGAACAATAAAAATATCAGAACCTGAGTAGGTCTGAATCGGAATATCCTGTGAACCAATAGGTGTTTCCCATGCATTGTCATATGTTTGTCACAGTGATGTTATTACAGGCTGTGGACAAAAACAGCATAGCTCTCACTATCTCCCAGTGATCTTAAAACAAGTACTGATTAAACCAACAGATTATTAAGGAGGTTTCGTCGTAATATGCATATTGGATGGCTTTTATTTTTTTAAACTGAAACCAAATAAAATTAATAAATTGTTCATCTAAACAGCTAATCCAAAAGGAATTGCAAAACATGACTAACCAGAGTTATTTAACTTTGCTTTAAGCTTTATGCATAATCATAACAATCCTTCCAGTTCAATGTACAGCTGTTGAGATATATCAGCCATGTGAGTATTGCATTGTTTTCAATGAGTTGGCTGACTCATGTTTGTATTGGAAATGGCGGCACAACCATTGTGCAGAGCTGGAGTATGTATAAGCAAATGGGGCTGCCAAATGTACATAAATAATTACAAACTGTATACAGAAGCAAAGCTTTTTAAACTTACACATACTTAAATGTTTTAAATAATCTCTTCCCCGTGTTTGTATGTATGTACGTATATATATATGTATAAATATATATTTATTTATTTTGATCCAGTGCCCATTAATAAATACTAATCTTTTTATTTTCCCTGTTGTATGGGGAAGGGGAGGGATCAGCACTGAAACAATTCTTTATGGTCGCTGTGATAGCATGGTATTCAGCCACTTGGATCAGCTGGGTACAGTGTCTGTGTGTACCCAGTCATCCAAGGACGTCTCAGTACATTTCAATCACCCGGTGGATCAGTCTCCCGATGGCTATTTATACAATGCTGTTCATAAACAGCACTGGGTAAATAAAGGTCCACCAATCCGCCATTGAAAAACATACCATGGTGCAAAAGTGGTCAAATCCTGTTTTTCCAGGAAAGTACTATTAGGCTGATAGATATTGACTTCAAAAGTTCCTTTGAACTTTAATTTTTACATGCACTTATAAACTGGTTCAAATTGAGCTGAATTATTAAAAGGTATGTACTGCAAACACTTTTTTTTTTGGATAGAAGTGTTAAAATCTTTGTCAATCTACTTTTTTGATGTTTTATTCTCTGATGGATTGATTTTTCAACCTGTTATTGTCCTAGAGCCACAATAGGCACTGATTGAAAATCTTTACAGTCAGAGAAATTATCCCATTATACAGCTGTCACTGGAACAGGTGTTCCTATTGCAAAATACCTTCATCTGTTGTTCTGGTGACAACTGTAAAATTTTGGATTTCCCAATAATTTCTGTCTCCAATTCTGCATCAAGCTTTTCAAGAAAAATATAGAGTGTGAATCTACCAAGTGTGGACACAGACAACAAAAACAATAAACAAAAAAAAAAAACTGATGGGTTCTAAGCCTTCCCCTCTTTATCCATAGCAAAAAAAAAGTTTTGGCTACAAATACACATTAAATGAAACCACTAAAAACATAATTAATAGGATTGTCATACATAGAGGGATGTATTTGTGACGACCATTTTAAGGATTTGTGTAAACTAATAGCACAAAATGCATGTTTGGAAAGATATCTTGCTGCATTATTATATGGCTATATATTGTTATATGGTGTGCAATGGACTCTTCTTTACTAATATCCTTTCCTCTGATTTGCAGCAGCAGTGTTGGCATTTTCAGCTTGTGTTTTGGAGCACATGGGTGATATAAAGTTGAATTTTGTTGTAAGTTCTAAAATGATAGGAAGTATTAATTAGGATAATGAAAACTGTATTGGGGAAGAGTGTTGAGACACGGTTAAGTGCTGAGTCACACTCAGTGTGTGCGGATTGAAGCTCAGGTTTCACAGCTAATTGATACAGTAGTTGTTCAGTAGTTTAGATCCGGTTAGGATTTTATCCTGTTCACAACTGATGACATGTACGGTTTAGAAACAGTTCCCATAAAAGTCAATAGCTTGTAATCCTCACCTGAACCAGACTGCACTGCTCAGAAATCAGACAGGACTCTTTTTCAGTCTGCACTTAATCCGCACTGTCGGTGCATCGGACATGTGAACAGCCACCATAGAAATGAATGTGATTTCACATGTCATGCGGATTGGATGTGGTTCAAACTGCATTCAATCTGCATATGTGTGAACCAGCACTTGCAGTGCTTCAGTTAGATATTGTTTTATACCAGTTTGATAAAAAAAAGAGGGTAGTGTGTTTTTCCTTTGAAACATTTTATTGTGAACACCAACTATTCCTTGCACACTGTAAAGCCAGCTATACATGTGCTATATATGTGGTCGATTCAGCAGGGGCCAGCAAGTTTGAGCAAGGAGGTTATACAGAAGAAGATCTGCTGCTTCTGTACAACCACCCTGTCGTATTTTCCCCGCTCATTTAGCAGTGCAGGCTATAGCCTGCAATGCTAATCAATGTATTCTGACAGAGAGAAAGTCTTTCCACTGTAGGAATACAATAGCTCAGCGGGGAGGATTCCTCAATCAAATGTGTGGATGGGGGAAACTAGTCAGTTTTTTTTTCTCTATAGGTTGCCTTAGGTTCAACTGTCATTCAAATTTTGTGTTTTATGAGGGTTTCCAATAATTTTTTAGCAGTTGTGCTGAAATTGTCTTGTGAAATGTGGTGTTTAAATTCGTGGGAAAAAATAGAAAATA